GAATTATATTGTTGTTGTTCAGTTGTTATAGTCGTTATTTTGCTTTTGCACACAGATTTCTTTTTATAAGCATAGTAGTAAATTTAATGTTTGTTTATTGTAACTCATCTCAATAAACCACGGTATATGATAGTACACGAGTGTTGCTTAAAACGAGACGTAACTCAGGCGGTATACCAATTAGTCTGTCTTAAATTCATAGTTTTTTAAGTATCAACATTTTTTTCTATGAATGGCAGGATCTTAAAATGACTCAGTTGCCAAAATTTAAAAATTTAAAAAAGAATCTCATTTTGCACGTAATACAAAATGAAATATTTTATAAGTGGGTTATAAGGGTTATAAGAGTCATTAGAATTAGTCATTTAAATTAGCTCCTAAATAATGATTTGGAACACTTATGGTTTAGGTGCTTTTAAAAACAATTTTGAAAACATGAAAAATGAATTACTATTGCAAAGATTTATTTGATTTATAACATATGACGAATAATTTTGCAGCCAATGCGTTTCTGTGGTTATCGTTTATCTGTTTACAAAACTGAATTTCCGGGAAATGAGAAAGCAGTTATCAGGTAATATCGCTAAATAGCCCAATAAACTTTTTTTTCTTATACCAATATTCAGCTTTTTTATTGGAGAAAAATCTACCGTATAACGCCGCCCCGATTTAATTTTATTTACCTCTTTAATGCATTTAACTTAATCTTAAGCGGTGTAAAGTAGAAAGGCATTTTTTGTACATTTTATTTTAAATATAAATAGTTAAGTGTAGAAAAAAGGGTCAAATACTACCTTTTTCTGTTAGATGAGCATTAATTAGAATGATTGCAAATTTTTTATTCTGCTATTTAACAAAAGTATTCAAGTTTTGTTTAAGTTTGTTTTCAAACTAGTACAATTATATTTTAATGAGGCTTTGTTATATACATTCAGCGCAGACTATCAAAACAGTGTGTGGTGTAATTTGGAAATAAAATAATTTTAGAGGCAATACAATAACTCAGAAAGTTTTGAACATATTTTATTTAAAAAGCTTAATTAACAGTGAGGTATTTAAAGAAGAAATTTCAGTACTTTTAACTGTAACAGTTTTTATACTTTCGTTTAAAGCATTTGATTTGCTTGGAAAATTGATAACGATGAGTTCATTATACTCAGATATGCATGTTATAAAATATTATGACTTTCATGGCATGCCATATAATATATGAAAATACTGGTTAATAAGCAATTTCTTCTTTCTTCTTAAAATATCAGAAGGTAGAAATAGGAATGTTATAAATATCTGCTCAGAAAAAATATTTCAAACAACACTTCACATAATTTTATAAATATAATAAATACACTTCATATAATTTTATAAATCTCATTTCCAATGTAATAGGCACTGAGCTTTAATTTTGTTTCAGGAGTAACTGCATACGCATATTGTAGGGTTTATTTTTATTTTAATTAACATTTATTTTAAGTTTAAACTATCTTTCCTGTCAAGCCTTACTTTCCCCTGGAATTGCCAATGCCAGAGTATGTAAATTTTAGTAGAACGCGCAAGGATTCAAATTGTCAGCGGAAGTAATCTGAGTTAAATAGAAGGGAAACGAGTTCGAAAGTGTGCTTTCTTGCTTCACGAGCGTGGAGGTGGCTAGTTAGAAAGTGAAGAACCACGCGTTTCGGCCTGTGTGCTTGCCTCAGTAGTTTGTTAAATCTTTCAACGTAATATTCAGAAGTTTGCTGAATTATCAGCGGTATCTTAGAACGCGGTTAGGTTAGTTACGTTTAGACAGCCTCGTAGTTAGTCACTTGTTATTATCCCTTTTTAGTTTCTTATTTTTATTTTACCGCCGGGCGGCGTAGTTTGTGAGCGTCAAGAGCACGCATCTGTAATTTCTAAAGTTGAATAAAAAGGGATTTAAACCCTTCTCAAGACTTTGTATACTTTCCAGTTCATAGCAGTCACCACTATTGTTGCGTGCATGTTGGAAGCGCGCAACATTACAATATAATACGCAATAATTAAGTTAAATAGCATTTAAACTTTCTCATGAAGAAGTTTTTAAAACCTCGCGAGACCCGTAAGTTGATCAGATAACATATAACATGTAATGTAATATACATATATACAAAATATACATGATAAAAACTGGTGTAAATTTCTCTTTCCAAATTACTCATTCTGGTGTTCACGACTGATTCCAAATTCTTATTGTAGAATAACAAACTACAAGAGTTTTCAGCTGTCTAAAACCTTTCAACATTCAGCTTTTACATTTTAAACACGTACTACTGAAAGCATATGAAAGTTGTAATCCAGATACACCAATTTGTTCTTGGAGATAAAATTATTGGATATGGCCTTGAAACAAACACTTATTTAAACACTATTTTGGTTTTCGTCACTTTTTAAACTTGAAAAATAAGCTTGAGATCAAGATGACAGGTACAATCCAGGCTATAGCCACTAAATAACCATCCCATATGCCATTGTCAGAGATGCTCCATCCACGGGATAACACACATCTCATTGTATTGGCTATAAGTGTAAGAGGTAGGCAGTAACTGAGCTGTCGTAAGTAGTAGGGCATAGCCTCCACAGGCCATATGATTCCTGAAAATATATAAAATATGCATAAGAGCAATGAAAGTTTTAATATTTTATAATTCAACTAGCAGCCTTGCTGCCAGCCTTCGTCTGGCTTTTAAATGTACCGGAAAAATGGATGAAGGGAACACAAAACGTTAAATTTAAAAACTGCATAGAATTTTACTCTGCAGAACAACTTCATAAAAAAAGTTATTACGTATAACAAAATCACAATGAAGCAATATCCCTTAATACAATATTAATTATCCTAATAAATAAATTAACCATAATAGATAGTTCATAATAAAATCATTTTTAAAACAAATGCAAAATTATATTTTAATATTTAGCAGCCATAAATAATGTTTAAAACATTAGATTAAATTTATAGATATTAATAAAACCAATTACGTTTTAAGTAAGGTGACGCCATTGATTACATCATCCACAACATAAAATTATATAAAATATTATAAACAACAAAATTTTTATTTCAAATAAAAATGCAAAATGAAGTTGATTTTTAATATTTAGAAGCGATAAATAATATTTAAAACACAGAATTTATGCATAATAAAACGCATTATTTTTTAAATAAAATGACAACAAAGTATCGGTTACCATAAATAACTTATCCAGCAATGGGTTTACCATAAGTCGTATTACTCGCCAAAAGAAAAATTGCCAAAATCCGTGCAACCGTCTACCAAAGTAGCACCAAAAATTACAATGAAATAAGCTATATCCTTTAATACAACTATTATCCTAATAAAAAAATAACCAACTTTCCGTTGAAGAACAAAAATCATGCAAAACTTTTCAATATCTTACAAACAGTGAAGTAAGCAAAAAATATTTTATAATTCAATATTATTTAAACAACATTGTCAGCTCAATCTTTAAAAATTAATTTTTCTTTAATAGGCAGCCGAATCTTCTTAATTACTCATAAAAACTATATTCACGTAGTATAATTACTTCACGCTTATTTCTACACCCTTCTATTCATTAGGATCATAACTAAAATGTTAAGAAAATAACAGAGCAAAATGTTTTAAATATCGAAGTGATATACTGTGCAAATAGATGCACAGTGACAATAAATAAAAGTGATCGAGGTATTTGACCAGAATGTTTTCTATTATACATTAATTCTGCTTAGTAAAAAATCTGATATGAACACCACGTGACTTCTTGTACGGCCTATTCTGCATTTCATTTAAACTTATTACCTCGAATTTCATTACAGATATATTCCTCATTCAATTAAATCAGTTCCCACTTCGCCAAAAATACCTAAAAACTTAAAACATCTAAATTAAAAATCGTGAAATACAGGAAAACCTAAAATACTAAATACAGATAAAAACAGTTAAGAAAAAATATTTACAATTAAAATTAGGATTTTTACTCAGAAACAAGCAATTCGGCCAGCAGGCAGGAAGAGAGATTTTTCAGTGTACAAAATTTGTAAAGTTACTTTTGGTCCCACTCGGCAAAAAGACACTGAAGTTGGTGCAGAAACTGAATTCACTATTTTACTAAGAGTTCCAAATGTGAACAAATGGAGGCTTCGTTAGGCTTAGTAGCACTTAAACAACTTTTAAATTGTTGATAATTCTACAACTGTTGCATGCAGATTAACTAAAAGCATAAAAAACTTAACTGGAACATAAGAACAACGTAATTCCATCACTTTTAAAGCAAAAAATGCACATTTTAGCAATATATAAGAATAAAAAAGCATAGCTCACCACGCTGGGTAAGAAGATGGTTATACACGTTTGGTTGAGCCGATTGCGATAAAAAAGGCAGCTGCACCACTAGATGTTACAGTAATCTGATATTCAAAACTTGAATGTTCTAGGGATAATCGTATATGTCTCGCATACGTACAGACGTCAAGAAAAAAAATTCCCTTCTGAACCCATTTTAAATCCATTTGAGAATCCGTTTTGGAAGAAACAGTGCTTTATTCCAAGGTTTCTTAAACTGTGGGTCACGACCCCCAAGGGTGTCGCGGGACCTGCAGCAGAATTTTTCGCGGCTACAAAACTTCCTTTACTTCGTACAAGGAAGTGAAAAGAGAAACTTAAAAAATAGTGGAGAAAAGTGGTAAGAAAACTATTATAGTTTGGCACATGAAAACTAGTTTACTTCGCAGAGTGCAGAGGCGTAGCTAAGGTCTTCAGCGACCGGGGACACCTAAAGATTTTGTGCCCCTTTCTGTGTTCCAAGAACGGAAAACATTTCATTCTAAAATGTGTATCATCTATTTGATGACCCCTGGATGCTGCGCCCGGGGACAGACCATGGAGGTAGGAACGGGAGGAGGGGCCATTCCGCGCTAGAAGTGAAGCACTGCTTTGAAGCTTGGGTCACCAGACGGGGTGTTATTTGTTTACATTCAGAAGCTCGCTTGACAAGATTCTGATAGTATTTCGACACACGACAGTTCCATAGAAATCGAAAAAGGGACACTCTCGCATGAAAGAAACATTCATAGTGGGATGGATAATAGCAATTTGTATAGTTTACTGACATTTACGCAAAAATCACATCTTGGTTATTTTTCGATAACTAACAACAGCGATTTTGATTATGAATTTGTTTTATAAAATTCTAAGCTGTTGCACTACAAAAATATAGATTTTAAGAAAAAATTGCTAAAAGAGAAAAGAGATCTGCCAAAATTTATTTTCTAGAAGATTTGAAAAGTTTGAAACTTGATGGCTAAATGTAAATATAAAATTATGTATGTTAAAATATTTGTAATTAGGCACATAGGTCAGATTAAGTTTTTATTAAATAGAGTAACGCATGCAAGGGCTATCTGCCTAAAGAGAGAGATGCCATCGTGGAGGAATTTTGAAGAAAAACTGACCTTTGAGTGGGTATTAAAAATAATACTTATAATTTTCATTCAAATTATATTCATATATATTTTTATGTAAAACTTTCGGGTGTATGCTAAATTAGTGTAAATTACTTTACACGAAAAATATAGTGAATGCACAGAAATTAAAGATTTGCACATGCCGGAAATGATAAATAGGAAATATGTATGGGTATTTATGCATGTGCTTGCAAAAAGCATGTATCTGCCTTTGACAAAATACTTAAATATTCATTAAATGATTTATAAATGTATTTGAAATGAAGAATTTATCCACTTATAAACAACTGTGAAAGTACTGTGAAGAAATCTAATGATTAAATGTATCTAATTTATAATGATTATAAATGTTATCTAAATATATAATAACCTTAATATTGAATTGTAAACATAAATTGAAATCCTGTTGACAAATACGTTATAAAACTATTTAAGCAAGAATTGTTCGTATTGGAAAGCAATCCGTTAAAAGGTATTGTAAAGCAAATGCTATGAGATGCGCACTTAAGAACGTAATAAAGAGTTTTGGAATATGTATTGTTGAAATGAAGGGTAAAAAAAAAAAAAAAAAAAAATTGATAAGTATAATTAAAAGAATTATTCCCTTTACATTTTATAATAACTCAGTTACAAGTTTTAAATAATACTTAAAAAAAAAAAAAAAAAAAACTTATTTTATTCCCTTTCAGAAATGTTCAGAGAAAGTCAAATACTATTTAATACCTATTTAATTATTAGGAATTAGCGAAATACTTATTTAAAGTATTTTGCTAATTCCTAATAATTCTCTAATTTAAAATGAACCGAATAGAGCATTAATTATAAATTGACTTACATTTTTCGATTTAAAAGAAGCCAAAAAAAAATCATGTCATATTTAAGAAAGTATTTTAGGAAGAAGCTCTATAAATAGAAAAGAAATAATGCATAATTTTAATATTAATAATACAATAAACTTTGATCTTAATTTTTGTACCTTAATCCGAATAAAATCGAATTACCTTAATTTTTTTTTTCTAATGTAATTAACGAAAACTTGTGAAAATATTTCATTCAAATTAAACCATTCTGAGAAAACTGTCCTGTGAAAAGTATAGCATTTAATTCCGTTCAGAATGAAATGTTGTTTAAAAATATGTTGTTTTCATATACTTAGGACTCTGAAGTGTTGTAGAAAAAGAAAATATATACATTTATATGTATATTTGCGACGTAATTACAAAATATTTACACCCGAACGCGTCAAATCCCATAGAACTCAATGGTAAATGACCCAATGTTTTGGTCACCACGTAGGGATCGCCGGTGCTTCAGAGCAGGGTACGGAAAAACTTGTTTAGGGCGACTCCTTCTTACTTCCTACCTCCATGTGCCCCACCCAGGGTGGGACGTAGCTAGAGGGGGGCATCTGTCTCCGGGCGCAGAATCCAAGGGGCGCCAAACTGATGTTACGACACTTTAGAATTAAATGCTTTCCATCATTGGCAAGCAGTAGGGGGCGCGAAATCTTCAGTTGTCCCTGGGCGCTGAAAACCCTAGCTACGACTCTGCCCACCCTAGCTACGCCACTGGCAGAGTGTATAAGCGGGTAGTATGTTCGGATGACATGAAATTAATTGAAAGAAGAGACGATTTCTGCTTTTATATAAATGAGTAAAACTATACGCTCTTAAATAAAGATGAATAAGTACATGAACATTTCATAATTCTCCCGAGAGAGAAATTTTACATTCTTACCACTAGGATATTTACAATAATCTTTGGTTATTAATTTCTTAAGTGACATAAAAGAATCCCTGAAATATTCCATTTTTTATAATTTGAATAGTTTGTGCTGAATAGTTTAAAATCGAGCAGTACAAATTTTATAATGCATTCTATGCAACTGGTTGTACTGTTGTTTCATTTTGACATTCTTGTCAATTGATGTAAAAATTATGGACTTAAATATTCAGAATCATAGTTATAGACTACGTCAAGTAAGCATTCCGCAGATTTGTTTCCATGAAATTTTAACTTATTTTCTTGTTAAAGGTTAAAAAAAAAGCTAATTTAGCATAAACTAGACATAAATAATTTCAATGATTTACTACAGGGAACGTTCATTATATTAATGATTTCTTATATTCGGAAAACATTTTAGAATGAAACTGAAAATTTTGAAAGAGAACTAGTATTCTCTTGCTCCCATGAAACTATATAAAATTTATAAAAAGAGCTTTGCAAGGTGTTCTTTTATTTGAAGTAATAGTTAAAAAAATGTATTTTTAGTCCAAAGGGATTTGAATCCCGAAGGACTATTAGTTTCGTTTTGGCATTTTGCGTCGGACTCATAAATGTCGGTTCACTTTTCAAACTGTTGCCACAAAATGTTAGAGTCCTGCATTATATTTGAAGAAATTAAATAATGAAAAATCTGCATAAATGTCTGTATATTTCTCGTATTGTGATAAAACAACGGTACATAGAGTCATCGAATTTTGAATAACGTAATCCTCCAACGAATATGAGCATGTGGAAGACCCAATTTGAAATTTGAAATTTGCTTTATGATCGATTTCCTATTTTTTAAAACTTTGACGAATTTTTGATTAACAAACTCAAGGATTTCAAAGCGAGCAATGGCAACGTTGTGCAGAAAAAACATTTTTATCTCCAGCGCGTGAGTCTCTGTATCGGAAATTCTAAAGATATGCTCGTTTTAAAACTATTTTGCGATATTGCTGTTGCACTGGATCTTATGGTTTAAGTGCGAGGAACATGATATTTAATAAAGAAAGGTAACACACAAAATGTTAAAAAACGCCCCTTTGGACGTAATTTAAAATCTGAAACATTTCAGATTTTAGTTTTTTTTTGTTTTTTGTTTTTTGTCATTCAATAACAACAGTTTTTTCCCATTTAAACTTTGCTGAGTTAAAAAGAAACTGCGCGAGTGATATAGTATAATCTAATAGTTAACCCGGTTGCTGCATTGAATACAATGAATAAAATCAACACAAAATTTAAGTGCTTCTAAGTTCTATTCTTCCACAACCTTGGATCAAACGTACTGTTCACGTTTTATACAACGTCCTTCTCCTTTGTCTCTACCTTTCTCCATTTCCCAGATTTTACAGCAACAGGAATTTTGTTACAGGTAGTCTTTACATATCACCAATGCCCATATCCATTCAGATCAATAACGCATCGTGTCCTATAACAGTCATTATAGACTATTAAAACGACATTATACGCCGAATTTGTGATTAATCTATATCTGATGAATGGGGCCTAGAATGCACATATTGAAGGATTGTAATCAATGAATGAGAAACTTAAACAGTAATTGATATGCATAATGTATCCCTGTAAGGTGAGAATTAAATTTTTCATTAAATTTTGAAACAACAATCCAGTTGTTTTCAAAAGTATGACTGATTTTCCTTAACTGTATTGAATGTACAGTAAGACCCCGCTTAACGCGGGGCATACGTTCCATCAAAGTAGAGCGTAATGCGAAACAGCGTTAAACGAGGCTATCTTTACATGTAAATATTGGGGTTAGGGGAAGATGGCTAGGAAATTGGTTAGGTATTAAATTTAAAAAATATGTTTTTTTAATAAAAATAAAACCAAACATTTATTTCTTAAAGCCCAAATTAATACCACATTATTATTTCTTGCAAAAATAAAAACAAAATATAAATAACAAAACGAATATTCTTAAAAAAAAATAAAAAATAAAATTCTCAGTCATATTTAGTTAGCCTTCCGCGTTTTCAGTGTTCTGCCTTTTTGTGACAAAAGCATCTAATGTTGTTTGCCTTTTCCTTTTGCGTTGTTCTCTTAAAAGTTCTTCATAAACGGATAGAGCATCTCTAACACCACGCCTTACTTTTGAGCTCCTGTCAAAATTCGGATCATTTTCAATGAATTGATCCATTATTTCAGTTATGGTAGACAAACTCCTTTTTACAAACGCCATCGAAAGTTCTTTTTGCTCTTCTTCTGAATCACTGCTGTCAACATTTTTGTTTTCTTCTTGGTCCGCTTAATTCCTTGAGCTCATCATTAGAAAGACTAGCCGCTGCTTCTTGAATTATTTCTTCGACATCTTCCACAGTTACCCCTTCAAAATATGTCTGTACAATACCGCACCAAACAAGAAATACAAGTACACTCTTTCGGATATGTATTTGAAACCTATCGCTGCATAATATTCCGGGGAATCCCCGTATGCTGCGAGCGATTTCATGGAATCCCCGGGTTGAAATAAAAGAGCGCTAAACCGAAACAGCGCTAAACGAAACAGCGTTAAGCGGGGTCTTACTGTACTTAATAAAAAAACGAACTGAGGAAATCCGCTTGAAAAAATTTTAAAATTGCTTTGAATACCATTTCAAAGTTAAATCAATCACACAACCATCACAATTACTGTGAAATTACTTGTTTTACAAATCTAGTACATACTGAGTGACTGTTTCATGGGGCACATTCATCTGAATCCAAGTTGTTTCCTTTTAGTTCTTACTGTGAAGGATTGTGCTTGAAGAGCTATTTAGACTTGATATTTGAAAAGACTTAAATTCGGTATCAGCGACCATTCAAGTATGTCAAATATGTTGTCACAATTTCCTGGAACTATTCTGTATGACATACCTCGTATTTACGATATTAATCTCAAAATAAAATCTACTAACATTCAAAACTTTTCAGAATAATGTTTGCAGCAGGGAATATGCAAAACGTCAAAATTCATGTATTCTGTCGTTGTTGATGTAAAAGTTATGATATAAACCAGCAACTGTAAAATATAAAAACATATGTAAACCCTTATATAAGGTCAGAATGAAAAAAAATTAGTTCTACAGAGAACTTTCTAACAGCAGTCATTTGATGAGCATATTCTATCACAATAAAGCATTTCAGATTTCATAATCTTCTATTATGCCTCTTCTCAGATCATATGACGAAGACATGGAGAATGAGATTTATGAACATCATTGAATTTAATGTATTCTTAGCGGTTGAGATCCCTCATAGAGGGCACTGCAGTAGCTCCGACTACAAACTAAAATTATGTAAAAGCTTGAATCAGCAAATTATTGCCAAAATACTTTGAGTGAGATGTAATAGATGTTACTATGTATTATAGCTTGTGCAAAGTAGTTAACTAAAAGGTTGTAGAGTACAGGTGGGTTAACTTCTATCTGTATATTGGCTGGTTTATAGGTTTATTAGATTACGGCAAAGCACTTGAGGGCTATCTGCCTTAAGGGAGGGATGCCTTAGTGGAGGACTTTTTAAAGGAAACTGGCTCGTATACACGTTACACATGAGGAAAACCACAAAAACACCCATGCATCCAGCCCGTTCACGGGATTCGAACCTCGGACCGAGCTACCAGTGTTCAGCGACGTTACCGCTCGGCCGCTGGTGAGCCTTCTATCTGTATACTGGAGTAGCAGGAAACTACACAGGAAAAGGATTCACGTACCCTTTATTGACTCCTTAAAATTTACAATGCGTCAACTCGACGCTAACAAACTTCGCCTCTACTTGGACGGTAACTGAAAGTCAGATAATTGAAATTAAAAGTTGAAATGTTTAACAAGCGATACAACTAGCCTACAGGGCTCAGCGAGGTCCCGAACTTCAACCCCCTTCTAAGCTAGTAGCAGCAAAGCAATGCAATTAAGCCACTTGAACCAGCAATGAGCAAACGTACCTACGGCAGAGACGGTAGCTAGAGCCTAACTCTCTCTTTTCTCCTACCGAAACTCGGCTTTTAACTACTTCATTCAAAAATAGAAAATTTGCATTCGTTCACGCACGCTACAACATTGAACTATTCTGGCACTGACAATTAGGGAAATGAAGGCTTATAGGAAAGTATCAAATAAAATTTTATATTATTACTTAAAATAAATATAAATCCCTACAAGGTTACTGTTACTTATCTTTTCTCTGTTAGGAACCAATGAAACCAGTGTTCTGTGAAAACATATACTTTGATTAAGCATATGTGTGTGCACTGATTAAGCATATAATCTCGAAACCACACGCCTTCACTCTGGCTTTTTTAAACCACGACTTTATTTTTCTACTAATATGTCGCCGATAGGAAAGGAGTTTCATTCATCGTGAAACGTTTCAAAGTTGCTACTCATCGAAATGCTGATAATCGAAATGATTACTGCGCGCAACTTCCTCTGCGTGTCTGAGTTTAATTTATAAACAAGAGAGATTTAAAAAAAAAAAAGATTTTAATTTCTTACCACTTAGTAAGAGGTTTGGATAGAAGGATCCCATCGCTATCATGACAGCAATGTTTTCATCATTACAGATCGCTGATATAAAGAGACCTTGAAAGAAAAGAAAGAGAAAACAACTTAAAATAACTTTATTTGGTGTATCTGATTAGTCATACGAACTTTGTATCCAGCATTAAATTCTTAGTCATTGATGATAAAAAGCATGAATGCTGTTTCTTATCATTTCTAAGATAAATTGGATTAGCAACGTGTTAATTTATTACATGCTATTGTAGTCTTTAAAAATCTGAACAAGAGAAATTTAGAGCTATTCGGAGTCCCTGAAAAATATGGCACATGCAGTACTTACCTGACTTTTGATATTAGACATACAAATGCGTCCACAAATTTCCAGGACTAAGGTCGTATAAATTGAAAATTGAAGAAAACAGTATTCTTACTTCATAGACTTCGATATATAATTATGGTCATTCTATATTTGGATAATTTCTATATCATCATTATTACTATTATCATCATCATCATCTGGAATGAGATTTAGGAATCTGGGTTACCGTTTTCCTGAATCTCTTTCTTCACTGGCTGTTAAAATAATGTCTTTTGAAGCGAGACTTCACTATAAGGTTCAAATGCAGGGCGTCTGAGCCGCCCAAACGGTACAGGGGTCAGGGGAGCCTATTACGGCTACGAAGGGTCCGGGTTCACAGAAAATGCATGGATGTTTGTAAATGTATAATGTCTTTGCGGCATTGGAGCATTCTAAATATATAGCGAACCGAAAGTCCTCTCGTGCAGACTTGAGACCTCTTCCCTACCACCTCTTCTTACAGGGAAAGGAGAGGACTTCTTCCCTACCAATTTTTCGCGATTGCAATACAGTCAAAAGTCGTTAATTCGGACACCCATAATCCGGAATAATCTATAATCCGGACTTCAAAGCTAAAAACTTTCTGCGCATGCGCCGCGTTAAAACATGCGCATAGGTGTTTACGCGTGCGCGTAAGACCTCTTACGACTGCCCATTTGCGTGTGCGCAAGCGCAGAATATGTTTTCGCGTGCACGTTTCATGTATAACGAACGGTATAAGCTAAAATTATCTAATTATCTATTTCAGTTAATGTTGATGATTGCGTTGTTCCTTAATTTTCGAATTGGATCTGGCTTTTTTGGCAGACTGTAAGAGCAATACTATAAAAGTAAACTTGAACTTTCAATTATGTCAAATATAATTTCCGAATCTGGAGCTCCCAAAGGATCGTACAAAACGAAAGTATGTTTCGATGTCCATCAAACAAAAGTGGAATTGCAGCAAAAAATGGATAAAGACATGAAGAAAGTGACAGAGAGGTTAGTGAAAACGAAAAAATTTCGATTGACACGTTAGTCGGTATTCTCGGCACAGCAATTAACGGGACTTGAACAGCGAAACTTTGTAACTGAACAAAAAATTATGTCTGTTTATAGAATTAAAGAGAAAGATTATCACATAAAACGAAGCAACTTAAACAACTTACATTGAAGGAAATGTTTAATAAAGTAAACAAATAAATATTAAGCTTTTTCTTTTTGTAAATTTTGATACCCTTTAGATCATAATTGTTCTTTATTTCATAAATTACGGTTTCATATTTTTAATTTTAGAATTTCTGCATGCCATCTTACGCGATTTAAATTGATGATCTATAATCGGGAAAAATCGATAATCCGGAATCGCCGAAGTCCCCGACGAGTCCGGACTAACGACTTTTGACTGTACTTCATATAAAGAAGTAAAAAGAGTTTCAGAGCTAGACGGAGGACGTTTCCGAAACATAAATTTTCCTTTTCTTGGAGAGCATAAACTTCGACTAGTAGAATATTAATTAAGTCTTATGAATTAAACTCATAATACTTTATTTCAATATACTTAATGCACAAAATTCATGAAAGCAGTCATTAATAGTTTCACACAGAAACAATAAAGAATGGTACTTTTACTCAGTTCAGAGCCGTGAATTGTCAAAAGTAACTTTTTTTTTTTTTTTTTTCCCTAAAACCAGATCAGCTAAATAGTTAAAAGGATTAATTTAGAAGTCAAACAGCAAAAATCAGCGTTATATTTTCAAATTTTTACAGGACTAGTTTCAATGGTTATACCGAACCATCATCATGAGCTGCAAAAGCAGGGGGGGACCAAAAAATTGTTCGTTCGGTAAAACCATCGAAACTAGTCTTGTGAAAATTTGAAAATATAACGTTGATTTTTGTTTCTTGACTGCTAAATTAATATTTGTTCGTCGTGTTATTGTACCTTAATTTAAAAGGATGTTATGAAAATGCTCTTGCTTTTAACCATACGTGTTGTGCAGTTAGGTAGATGATTGAAACTGAATTTATCAAACGTTATCATACGTTTTATTCATAAGTTGCCTTGTCTGTATTAAATCTGATCTGATACACTGTTTAATGTTACCATAAAATGTTAAACACAACTCACAGCAGGGCACATAGTAAAAATAAACAAACGGATCTCTAAGGATAACAAACACAACTGAATAAAAGACCGAAATGTAGGCAAGTTCTTTTTCAGTTAACAAAAATTGCGCAAATTTTGCCCCAGAAATACAGGATCGTTAGTTTCGGAAAATAACATATGCATTCAACAGTGTCAGGACGTCATAAAAGAACTTTCACATAAGATATCTTTTCAATGGGTACCTTCACACTGCGGTATTTATGGGAATGAGATGATTGCTATGGTTGCGAAAAAAGGGGCTACGTTTCTGAAAAAGCCGCAAACGAGCACAAGCCTTCATTCTATTAAGCTGCTGACATCGTAAACATATCAAAAGAATTTAGAGATTTTGCCACTCGGACTTGTAAGGACGAGCCTTGGAATGTTTTCTCAACAAACTCAGCTTTTGTTTCTGACCACCCGCGAACAGTTGCGGCTGCATCTTTTAGACTATTAAAGGAACATGACTGTCTACAGAATCATTTATTTCGCATCTGACTAGCTGATTCGCCGTTGTGTGTTTTATGTAATAGTGGACAGCAAATGACGGCGGAACATTTGGAAGAGTGTGAAGCACTGACAAATTTTTCTTGTAGATTTCAGCGCTATTGGCAAGGAAGAAGTTTAATGGCCTAACTGCCAATGTAACTGGCATTTGACCAAAATATAAAATAAAGTAATAAAAGTTTCTGAAAATTATCAATATCCAATTTTTAAAAAGGCAGAGAAAACTTAATTACAAACACTTTCATAAAGTAATTCGTTTTGAAGTTACTATTGAACTCTGAAGTGAAGCGACTCAAAGTTCTGACAGGCAAGGACAGGTTTTGGTTGCTGCGCAGAAGATTCAAATTGCCAAATATCAAATATGAAAATATCGTGTAAAGTCAAAATTAACTCACCATAAGACATGCCTTCCAAACCAACCAGAAGAACACCAATGACTACCCAGACAAGAGAGCCGTGTGATGGGATGTTAAAGGCAAGGAAAGTAAAAAGAAGCACAAGTGCCACTTGGAACAACATCACGATAAACAATGTAAACAGTATAGAAAACATCACTTCCCATGACTTGACGCCTGAAAATAAATACTATATGAATACATTGTTTTAAAACATAAATTATGGAGTTTTTATATTTACTTGATTAACATGCAAGGATTTTCAAACCATTGTACGATTAAGTATTTCTGATCAAAAGGTGGATCGCGAATTTACGTTTATAATTTAAGTAATGAATCATTTAAGATATGCCCTCAGAATACTGCTTGATATTTAAAATGAAATTCAAATTTTTATACACGTTCTTTATTACGAATATTTTGATTGACCTCTTTTTTATATTCATACTGTAGTATGTAAAAATTGGCTCTGAAAAATTCGTCGAAGTTATGCAGCTGATTGACCTCTTTTTTATATTCATACTGTAGTATGTAAAAATTGGCCCTGAAAAATTCGTCGAAGTTATGCAGCGTGTGACTTCAATTACTTTTACCTAATATAGGAAAAAGGTGAAAATGTCAGCTCAGTTGTTTTATTAAAAATGAATTTAATCAGCTACAAAAATTGAAATTTAGCATTTCTATAAGTGAATATTTGAAGTCCGTATAGTCTGGAGTCTAAATAAATAAGAAATTAAATAAAAAAACACACACACGCTACAGCTATTTAATTCATTGCCTTGAAATAAATTTTTGCTGCTTATTCTAGTGATCGACACTCTTCCTTTTATGTTTATTGTAACTGCAGAAAACAACTTCTGCTATTAAATGAACTTATAAAGAAGCCACTAGTTTGGATTAGATTATTCGAATATCGCAAAGCCTACAAGATTTATCTGCCTAAAAGCAAGGATACCTTCGTGGAGGGCTTTCTAAGGGAAAAAGGGCTTGTTTTCATGTTACACACGAATAAAAAAACGAAACTAACATTGCAGCCAGCCTGCTCTTCTGCGATCTAATCCGGTTGAATTTCCAGTGTTCAGCAGTTTTAACCACTGGTAAAAAAGCGAATAGTTTTGGAATAGTGAAGATCGAGTATTATTTAATCAAAGATTCAGCGCTGAGTGATGAATTCACAGCTGAAAGTTAAATTACGCTTATCATGTAAAATTTAGAGCTTAGATTTTAACTCTGTTATGCAAGTAGAATTTGTAGTGAATGAAGTTGTTTTGTTTCATAACTTATGTGCTTGCTTAAAAGCATTTGACTAACTCCATAACTTGTGTTGAAGGCAGTTGCAAAGGAAGTACAACACAATAACAAGATCCATAAATATGTATGATATTTCTAGTTCTCATGTTGAAGATAATTTCATATTATTAATATTAAAACATTCATGATGTAAAAGGTAAACCTGATATCCGCATTAGTGTTTCATATTGATAAAAATGGAGTCAATTCATACCGAGGCGTAAAGTTTTGCGTCTGAAAAGACTTATTATAGAAGCATTAAAGAGTCCAGTCGGGAAATAAGCATTTAATATTATAAAATAAATGCAAGCAGGTAGTTTAGTTTTACAGATATTTTCTTTGTTATTTAACTCATCTATCCATTAGCGAAGCAAAATAATATTGTAAGCCTGTTCGGAATCGTTTTGTGTGGGATCGTAAATGAGTCCTTTATCCCGTAACAATAATTTATTACGAGTACAAGGACTAAGTTGCACACGGACATAACATATAATTTTAAGTTTTACAGAGCATTTTATAGAGCATTAAATTACACTAAGTTTTACAGCTCTTAGATACAACCAACTTAAGAGGTTCATTACCTGGCCTTTACTGATGGTTTTCCTGGCTACTCACCAGAGGGCACCCTACTCTCGTTGCTAGGGTGAATCCATCATAGTTAATAAAATCAGGAACGGTTACAAGCCCATTTTTTAGGATTAGGAGAAAGACATAAATTTCTTCGTAGTGATTTAATTTCCCATTGCAGAATTTAAAATTAATTCTGTAAAAAATCTCGAGCCTTTTTTTGTTCTCTCTCTCTACCATAACATCATCCAAGCGATCCTTAAGACATCCTTAAGAAAAAGGGAAATATGTCACAGAAAAGTATGTTATTTCGCCTAAACATTAGGTCTTAGAAATAACCTCCAGATGGTCATTTAGAAACAGATACAGCAAGAAAAAATACCGCTAATTAGAATTTGCATATTAAAAAGATAGGACTCTGAATTATCCGCATTATTTAACGCACATTATACGTACATGTAAAACACAGATAATCCAAAAAATGGACCGGTAAAATTGTATTTATACATGGGTACGTAAAAAAATAATGCCTTGGAGATTTTAAAATATTGATATGCTTAGATTACAGAAGAAGCAAATATTCCAAAAAGGACTCAATAAACCGGCGAGTAATGCAAAGCAAATGTCAAAAGTCAAAACTGAAATGATACTCAGTGTATGTCTTAAAGTAAGGCTTCATTACATTAATAATAAAATTCACATTTGGACATTCCATTTTTTTTGAAAGCCACGGTAATTTCATTGCAGATGAATTGGGCAAAATTATTATGTAGCATTATAGTTGAGTTTTACTGAAAAAAATTAAGTTTAATTTATATCTTTCCTGTAGGTCTCATTTCGTCACGGACTCGGTCATTGTAGAGAATCATAGAGATCTGAGCGGCAAGCAGTTTAGTACAAAGACAGGAAAAACAGTTCATAACCGTATGTGTGTTTGGCTGTACGCTCAACACGCTTGCATATTAGCGTAAAGCCCCTGCTCGAGAAGGAATTAGAATCTCAAGACGCTAGCTTGGTTGGTAAGTTAAGATTTGAGCTATCTTTTAGTTGCCTACTTGTAGCCTGTAACCTTGCTTACAAAATAAACAGGGTGTTTCAGCAAATCGGTTACAAACTTTCAGGAGAGATAGACTACACCTAGACGATGGAAAAACACGTACCAGTGCATGGTCGGTGGCACTTTCCTGGCGTGGTAGTAACGATACAAAACACAAGAAAGGAAGGACACAAATAGGGTGAGAATATACGTTTATTTAGTCTTAGTGCAGCATGAACCAAGAAATAAGAACAATGACAGCCCATTGTCATCAAAGGCCCATCGAAATCACATTCAAAACGTACCTCAACATGGAATCGGCAGGGGTATTCCGGTTCATTGATCAGCAAGATCACCAGACCTTGCTTGTATTGAGTACTTCCTCTGGGAGTACGTTAAGACGTTGGTGTACGAAATACTCGTTAGAAGTGCTCAGGAAGTTGTTGCATGCATCGTGGCAGCTGCAGGGAATGTCTGGGACATGCTCGGTATTTTACAGAACATTAGATCGTCCATGTGCCGGAGACATGAGGCTTGCATCAGGATCCGGGGTCGTAATTTCAAACATCTTCTTTGATGACGATCGTTGCCTATTTATGTTCTAATTTCTTGATTTTTTTATTTCTAATAGTTTTGTAAATACAGAAACCGTTATAGGCCAATTTAATTTCGCTATCTAATTCAGGTGACTGGTAATTTTGTTTAGTAACAATTTAATTTATCCCTCGCAAATGGTGAAGTAGAATAAACTAAAGTTAGCTAGTTGTGTTTGCCTGCTCTCACCATTTACTTAAGCTATCAGTGATAAATCACATCATTGATATTAAATAACATATGAGAGGTGAGAGATTTAAAATAGTAAGTAAGTAGAAATAGCTTCAAACAAATGTTACAATGATATCATTGAATTTGAACTCTGTTTATTAACCCATATAATCTAGGGCTGTTTCATATTTCTCTTCTGTCTCTTTTGCTGCCTCTTCCTGCATGTTTTGCTTTAAAACAATTCTATAGCTTTCATAATTTTTTGTTTTCTCCAAAACCTTTGATTATCAGAAATTATTTCAACAAGGCAATTAGTCCTGTTCATCGGTAGATCTTTCATACTTTAGGGTATCTGGAATAACTGTTTTTCTTCTACCGATTCTAACAGAAGAATGCTGTTAGGGTGGCTAGAAGCTAGCTGCTAGCTTCTAACTATTAAGGTTCTAGCTAGCTATTAAGGTTGAGAATGCTGTTCGAAACTAGCTGCTAGCTTCCAACAGAATTCTGAACCTTAATAATGAGACTTCAATGCATCAAAAATATCCCGAGTTTCTTCCAAAAAAAGCAACAAAATTTTCATCATCTTCTAAGTATCACTTCAAAAAAATAAGGTAATGTATTGATGATTCACAAATAATGCGCTCTCAGATAACTGGAAGTTAAATGTATACAAATTGAGATATAACTAAGCTAAGAAAGTGAAAAATAGAATATCCTAAATTAAAAAGAATTAAAGTATTTTCAAAGCTAAATTCAGATTTTACATGACATATATATAAGCAAATCAATATGTACGTAAATCCCAATAAAGCAACGCCAGTAGTTTGCGAACAAGAAAAAGAAATACGAGTTATTTTTCAAACTTATCTCTTTTCTGTATATAATAACTTACCAGCAATCCAAGATCTATCCAGTAAACCTTCCTTCTTCTCTATGATAATAGACATAGCGCTTAGACCGACAGCCATGATGTATGTAATTCTGTAAAGTAAAGAAATAATACTTTAAAGCTAAAAAATTCAATAGCAACTGCGAAAATAAAACAGTCACATTTATTTGAATGTATATAATTTTATCTGAGATTAGAATAAATATCTCTAACGTTGAAATATAATAAAATTGCATATTCGAATTATTTGCTTACGATATTAAAAGTTGTAATGATCAAAAATTGAAGAAAAATAGGAAAAAAAAAAAAAGTAAACGTTAAAAAATGCATCTTACCCTAATATCATTCCTGGAGCCATGAATTCAGTAAAATTGGGTTTTAACTTTCCATATATAGGTTCTTTTATCTGAAATGTTCATTATAATTTTATTCAAGGCATGCAGGTAATGATATAAGTAAATATAAGCAAAAGGTGTATGTTAACCTGAAAAAAAAAATAGAAAAATAAATTCTTTTACTTCATTTTCAAACAGAGTTTTTAAATGCACTTTCGGCAGCTACAAAGTAAAATTATACTTTCTTCAGAAGCAAATTATTCTGCATTAAGCTGTCCCGTTTGACAAAAAAATTAAATTTTAAAAATTATTTAAAATGCTGGTATTTATTCCTAGTTGATTAGGATTTTGTAGCTAGATTTTGAAGTTTATGAGGTTACATTTGTTCTAATACTGCTACTTTAGTCCTACAACCCTAACAGACATGTGGCAAGTTATTTCTATATCTGAGGTAGAAAGAAAAAATATCTTACGAAAGTTCTAAAACAATTTATTTATTTTAACAAAGCACGACTTTATGCTGCAGTAACCACAGCTCCCGGCAATGTCAATAAATAAGAATAGTTAATAAATTTAAACGTTAATCAGTAGTCAAATATTATACAATTAAATACCAAGCTCTAAAGCTGGCTCAATAAATTACCGGCCCACCAGCGGCCGAGCGGTAAAGTCGCTGAACACTGGTAGTTCGGTCCGAGGTTCGAATCCCGCGAACGGGCTGGCTGCATGGGTGTTTTCGTGGTTTTCCCCATGTGTAACGTGTATACGAGCCAGTTTCCCTTAGAAAGTCCTCCACGAAAGGCATCCCTCCTCTTAGGCAGATAGCCCTAGTGTGCTTTGCCATAATTAAATACACCAATAAATTACCGGCTCCGAGAGGATGCGAAGCTAAGATAGTTACATTTAACTAGAGCTGGCAGAATCTAACCACGTAGCGAGCATGCCACAAACACTCTATCTCTCAGGATCCAACAGCCGCAGCTTAAATACACATTCAAACTAATGTATTTTGGTGAGGAATACAGAAAAAAGAACAGACGATCCAAATCCTAATAACTGGTTAGTTAAAAATAAGAACCTTACAAATTTTGTTTATTCTTTGAAAACGTTTTAGTCTAATATTTAGTGGTAGCTAAGCCCACATGAAATTCATAGATTTTAAAATCACGAATACTACTCTGAGCAATTAATTACAAATTTATGTTATTCCTAAAAGTACTGAAAACACAAAACGCCTTCACCTCATTAATTATAAAAATATCTACTATTACACAAAGCAAACTTTTAGTTAAATTAAGCATCAAACAATGGTATATATACGAATTTAAAAACAGTTTTACAATTAGAAATATGCACTATATTTGATTCATTACTAAAGTACTACAAAAACTTAACCTCTTGCTTGGCCAATATCCTTCGTTTTATTTGAGAGATTAACCATGCGCCATCCAAACCTTAAACCAACCCCGGATGATTTCTACGTACGATGAGAATCGATGAATACATCTCAGGCAACGCAAGTACATCCGTTAATGTCATTCAGTTACGCGATCAAGTTTAGCCCGTAGTCACACAGGCGTCACGTAGTAACACACATAGATAACACACATAACATGTGTCACGTAGTAACACAGATATATACAACGAAGAGCCAAAACATTATGACCACTTACTCAATAACGTTTTGCGCGACCTTTGGCCTACAAAACAGCTGCATCTCGACTTCTTGGTAGATGAATGGAGACAGGTTGTACCCAATGTCTAAGCAGCGGTCACGCAAAGTCGAGATATTTCGACATGGTGGTATTTGAGCTCTGAGCTGCCTCTCCATGACATCCCAAATGTGCTCTATCGGGTTAAGATCCGACGAGATAGGTGGCCAGGACATTATTTGGAATTCATTTTTATGTTCCTCGAACTACTTCAACATAATTCTAGTTCTGTGACATGGGCCGTTGCCCTGCTGAAAGATTCCATTTTCAGTTGGGAAGAAAGATGCCATGTAAAATGCAACTGATCCGCAGTTATGTTCAGATAGTCCAGCTTTCATGGTCTGTTCTACACCAAGTAAGGGTCCCAGAGCCGGCCGTGAGAACGTCCCCCAAAGCATAATATCGCCACCACCAGTATATTTGCATACCCTGCTGTACAGTGGGAGAGATAGAAAAAAAATTGTTTGCGACTATCGACGTAATGAATGGAAAATCGTGATTCATTCGCACAGGCAACTTTCTTCCACTTAACCATGATCCAGTCTCGATGTTCCCGGAACCACTATAGGCGTAGTTGACAATGACGCTTATTCAACAGAGGCACACGAGTGAGACGTTTGCTGCGCAGTTCCGTATTCAACAGTGCCCTCTAAACTATATGTGCTGAAACACTTGCAGTTGGACGTGCATTGTATTGAGCTGTCAGCTGAGCCACTGTTTGGGGCCGATTTTGCTGTAGCAAGCGAGAGAGTCTCCAACGTCCTTTTTCTTTGATGAAGCGTAGACATCCAGCACTTTGGTGTCTACGGCTTGTTTCGGTGTCATTTATACACTTTGCATATATGCTAACAACGGCAGATCGTGAACAATCCACCACCCATGCAGTTTGCGAGATACTTGTTCCGAATCTTCCGGCCATTGCAGTCTGCCCTCTATCAAATTAGCTTAGATTAGCAGCCTTTTCCATCACTCGCAAAAGTAAGTGGAAGAATGCTTCTTTATCTTCTCCAGCAGCAGTTAAATATCATTCCCACATAATCACACGCTCTCTATGTCATCCAGATGAGTTCATCGAAAAATGTGAGGATGGTCATAATGTTTTGGCTCGTTAGTGTATATTCAGATACTTACTATAAACAGGGTCAAGTCCATGTAACTCCTGTTATTTAGGTGTTTGCTGAAAACATAAGGGCAAAATTATCTCGGACAAAAATGTTTTCGAGGAAATATCATCGTACAAGACATAGTGCTAAAGAAAAAATAAACAAGAAGAAAATTTCTGAAACATCGCAATATGAAACATAGTGGTAGAAAATAAAACGACAAAATTACGGACTTTGACAGCCTCGTCATCCAATCCAACGTGGTAAAATATGACCAGTTGCAAAATATCCAGTGACAAAATCATGGCAGAAATATGAATTTTAGGAATTGTTAATGGTTCATAATTTTGTGAAACATGATTCTACAAAAACAATATTTTGCGGATAGTAAACACTTTCTAAGACGGCTCTAACAATTCCACATGACTTTTGTAATTTTCAGAGATCGTCTCATCATTCGAGGATAATCACTCCGAGAGGGTTCGTTGGGTTAGAAAGTGATTATTTGTACTTTTTAGCACATTTATTTTAAAAATGTTTGGCATATTTCTAAATAATAAAGCTGGATTTTAGATTTTGTCTACCAATTAAAACGCATACTTCTTGTAAGCTCCCACCTCAAGATGACACGACCATCTCTGACGACAATCAGTACTTCTGAGAACATAAATTAACATCATGTAAGACGATTACCTCTACAGGAGACCAAAATCATCTGGAAGCGTTGGAAAGAGGTCGCTGTACTCAAAATATTGCAGTCCCGAAAACTTGTTTCATGGAATTCTGAATGTCTTAGACACGTGAAATCTATATATCTGCGATGTTTTTGCCATTTAATGCTTTGGAGCTCTCTCCCCAACAGCCGAGACGTTTTGTACGGTGACATTTCCCTTTACCTTGTTTTATTCGCAACGTTTTCGTCAGCAACATTCTCACCAGTAGCCATTATTTAAGAATGAGAACCTCAGTATGGTGACTGGCGAAGATGGCTCTCGTATCGATGGGCCTGTGTTGGAATCCTGGAGAAGGTACTGATGTTTGTAAGCGTACAGTGTCTGAGCGGCATGGGGGCGCTCAAACTACTGACAAGCTGAAAGTCCTGTGGAATAATTTATGGTAAGGAAAGAGAGGTGAAAGACCCTCTGACCGTGTTCCAGTGTGATGGCCATCAGAATTTGCTTTCCTTTGAGAACATACAGACTCCCCGTGCACCACATATGTACAACACGGGGCTTAGAGAAGTAAGTTAACTAAAACATTAAAAATTACATGGCAAAATACCATTAAATTACATGCATAAATAAAGCGAACAAAAGCAGAGAACAGCAGTCTAGACTTCACGAAAACAGATAAGTTCACTCGCCAAGTCACTCCGAACATTTTCAAATCGTTCTGCAAGCATAATCGAGGGCCATCAATTGTAAGGCATGAGAAAATTAAATGTTCCACATCCTGAGGAACTCTTTTTGAATATTCACATAAATTGTTTGATCGTAGATTAAAACGAAACAGGTAACTTGCAAATTTACTGTGACGAGATAAAAACTGAGACACTTTAAAATTTAACGAAGGAAAGACTCGGAATTCAGTCTATGGTAAACAGAAGGAAGGAACTTTTTGGTGACTTCAGCATTACAAGATGAAATGTATTCCTCATTCCACATAGCTAAAAGCTTTTTATAATGAAAGGACTTCCAATAAATCTTTGGAATGCTAATGTTGATATCAATGGGTAAATTTAAGGCAATCTTTAGCTAAAAATCACCTCTTTCATTTCCGTAGAAACCATGATGAGCACGCACATAAGCAAAGCAGATATCAATACCTCTAATTCTAAGTGAACTAACAGTTACTAGTATTTAGATAACTAATTTATCGCAGCTGATAATACTGTTCACAAGTTGAAAAGAAGAAAGAGAATCAGAACAAATAAGGTACTTTGAGGATGTTGTCTCATTATCCTGGATCCATTTGACGGCAATATAAATGCACAGAAGTTCTGCTTGAAAAACTGTGCATTCATTCCGTATACGGAGTCTAAAAAACAAACCTCGGAATGGCCTCCAAAAAGAACAAATGCAAGGCCAACCTTGTTATTCATCTTGCTGCCATCTGTAAAGAAAATCATATGAAAACTTATTTCAGCAGTCTCTTTATAGTCGCAGAAATTTATGGGTTCTAAAGTAGCGGGATGAGGAAGATCAATGAAGGGGACAATTCCATTAATACAGAGCCATCAGAATTGGGGCGGAGCTG